GTTATGGGAGCCCACAAGGAGCCAAGGAGCCCGGGGGAGCTCGTTGTGGGTACCCCCCAGAATCCTCCGTGATGCCGGCGGCATCAGGGAGGATTTTGGCCGGCGGACGCACAGAACCTTTGGACCATTGGATTTACGCCTTCGGCAATAAAACCTGCCCAGCGCGCTCTTCCAGAGAAACCAAGCGTTCTGGGGTCAGTTTTAAGCAAATCCGGAGGTTTTTAAGCGCCGATACAAGTGCTTGGATATCAGAGAGGCTGCATGCGAGCGCGACAGGGGGGACCAGCGCGGCGGCGGGCAAACCCAAGCGCTAATTTTACGATTTCGGCTATCTAAGCGCCGCAGCGCGCTTCCGTAGCGAAGCCAAGCGTCCTGGGGCATTTTCTAAGGAAATCCAATGGTTTTTAAGGGAAAGCCTAAACCCGCGGCCCAATACCCTAAACTCACCAGGGCCGGCCGCGATTTGGGAGCATCCGGCCACGGGTTAGGGGTTATGTGTTTCTGAGCGAGACACAGCCTCAGGCCGGCAGGCCGATTGTGGCGGTGAGCTCGACTGGCAGCTCGCTCTCACTAGCAGATCCTTACAGGCGTGGCGATGCGCGCCCCCAGGGCCGCGCCTGCAGTTTAGGGTTTAGGGTTTAGGGTTTCCGAGCAGAACCATCCTATCCCCCCCTCACCAGGGTGTAGGGGGGGATGGATGGGTGCGTTGAGTCCCGCCCCATCCGCCCAGAGTCATTGCTTTTAGGGTTTAGGGTGGTCTACCCCCCTCGCTCCCCCCTAGCAAGGGGGGAAGTGTGCAGGCGTCGGCAAGAGTGAGTGGCTTTACGAGTCTTCTGAGTCTTATGAGCCTTTTGCGTCTTCTGAATTGAGTCTTCTTATCCGGCTCGAGCGCCGGCCCAGGTGCCAAATCGGCCCAGAAGGGTTCCTGGGCGCCGGGACGGAAAATCAATATTTTCAAAAGAGAAATGTTCTTGGAGTGGCCTTTTTTCGGCACCGCCTCGGAATTCAATTTCCGGCGCCGGAACCGGCCCGGGCGCCAGCTCGGGCGCCGGCCCGGGCGTCCGGCTCGAGCGCCGGCCCGGGTGCCGGAATCGGCTCGGAAGGGCCCCGCGCGCCGGGAGCAGAAAATCAATATTTTCGAAAGCAAAATGTGTATTGGAGATGCCTTTTTTCGGCACCGCCTCGGAATTCAATTTCCGGCGCCTGCCCAGGTGCCGGAATCGGCCCGGAAGGGTTCCTGGGCGCCGGGAGCAGAAAATCAATATTTTCGAAAGAAAAATGTGTCTTGGAATGGCTTTTTTTCGGCACCGCCCTGGAATTCAATTTCCGGCGCCGGAACCGGCCCGGGCGCCAGCTCGAGCACCGGCCCGGGCGTCCGGCTCGAGCGCCGGCCCGGGTGCCAGAATCGGCCTGGAAGGGTTCCCGAGCGCCGGGAGCAGAAAATCAATATTTTCGAAAGCAAAATGTGTATTGGAGTGGCCTTTTTTCGGCACCGCCTCGGAATTCCGGCCCGGGCGCCGGCCCGGGCATCCGGCTCGAGCGCCGGCCCAGGTGCAGAATCGGCCCAGAACGCTTCCTGGGCGCCAGGAACAGAAAATCAATATTTTCGAAAGAAAAAATGTCTCTTGGAGTGCGCTTTTTCGGCACCGCCTCGGAATTCAAATTCCAGCGCCGGATAGCCTGGGCGCCAGCTCGGGCGCCGCCCCGGGCGTCCGGCTCGAGCGCTGGCCCGGGAGACCTCGATCCGCGCGGGTGACTAGTTGCGCGCATTAGCTTTTCTAGCTCGTTGCGGGAGCCCGCAAGGAGCCCGGAGGGAGCTCGTTGTGGGAGACCAGAAGCGCAAGGAGGCTGCTTGTGGGGCTCGTCGGCGCTTAGATAGCCGAAATTGTAAAATTAGCGCTTGGGTTTGCCTGCCGCCGCGCTGGTATCCCTTGTCGCGTTCGCATGCGGCTTCTCTGACACCGATGCACTTGTATCGGCACTTAAAAACTTACGGATTTGGCCAAAACTCCAGAACGCTTTGGTTCTCTGGAACAGCGCGCTGAGGCAAATTTTATTTTCGAAAGCGTAAATCCAATGGTCCAAAGGTTGTGCGCGTCCGCCGGCCAAAGTCCGCTGGATGCTCGCGCCTGGGCCGGATCTGGCGCAAGCGCCAAAGGCGCCGGAAATTGAATTCCGAGGCGGTGCCGAAAAAAAGGCTACTCCAATGCACATTTTGCTTTCGAAAATATTGATTTTCTGCTCCCGGCGCCCGGGAACCCTTCCGAGCCGATTCCGGCACCTGGGCCGGCGCTCGAGCCGGACGCCCGGGCGCACTAGCTGGCGCCTGGGCCGGTTCCGGCGCCGGAAATTGAATTCCGAGGCGGTGCCGAAAAAAGGCCACTCCAAGACACATTTTGCTTTCGAAAATATTGATTTTCTACTCCCGGCGCCCAGAACCCTTCCGGGCTGATTCCGGCACCTGGGCCGGCGCTCGAGCTGGATGCCCGGGCCGGCGCCCGGGCCGGATCCGGCGCCGGCGCCGGCGCCAGCCGGCGCCGGAAATTGAATTCCGAGGCGCTGCCAAAAAAGGCCACTCCAATACACATTTTGCTTTCGAAGATATTGATTTTTTGCTCCCGGCGCTCGGGAACCCTTCCGGGCCGATTCCGGCACCCGGGCCGGCGCTCGAGCCGGACGCCCGGGAAGATCCTTGCCCAGAAGGAGCTCCAGGGAGCTCGCTGTGGGAGCCCACAAGGAGTCTGGGTGAGCTTGTTTGCGGGAGCCCAGAAGGAGTCCTGGGGAGCTTGTTGTGGGAGCCCACAAGGATCCCGGGAGAGCTCGTTGTGAGCGCCCACAAGGAGCTCCGGGAAGCTCGTTGTGGGAGCCCACAAGGAGCCTGGGAGAGCTTGTTTGCGGGAGCCCAGAAGGACTCCTGGAGAGCTTGTTGTGGGGGCCCACAAGGAGCTCGGGTGAGCTCGTTGTGGGTGCCCACAAGGAGCTCCGGGAAGCTCGTTGTGGGAACTCCAGTGGGAGCCCAGAAGGAGGCCTGGGAAGCTTGTTGTGGGAGCCGACAAGGCTCGGGAGAGCTCGTTGTGGGCGCCCACAAGGAGCTCTCTCGGGCTCCTTGTGGGAGCCCACAAGGAGCCCGAGAGAGCTCGTGGTGGGGGCCCACAAGGAGCCGGGGGGAGCTCGTTGTGGGGGTTCGCAAGGAGCCGGGGTGAGCTTGTTGTAGAGGCCCACAAGGAGGCCGGGGGAGCTCGTTTTGGGAGCCCATAAGGAGCCGTGGGGAGCTCGTTGTGGAAGCCCACCGGGAGCCCGGGGACGCTCGTTGTGAAGGCCTACAAGGAGCCGGGGGAAGCTCGTTGTGGGAGCCCACAAGGAGCCCGGGGGCTCTCGTTGTGGGAGCCCACAAGGAGCCTGGGGGAGCTCGTTATGGGAGCTCACAAGGAGCCAAGGAGCCCGGGGGAGCTCGTTGTGGGTACCCCCCAGAATCCTCCGTGATGCCGGCATCAGGGAGGATTTTGGCCGGCGGACGCACACAACCTTTGGACCATTGGATTTACGCTTTCGGCAATAAAACCTGCCCCAGCGCGCTCTTCCAGAGAAACCAAGCGTTCTGGGGTCAGTTTTAAGCAAATCCGGAGGTTTTTAAGCGCCGATACAAGTGCTTGGATGTCAGAGAGGCTACATGCGGGCGCGACAAGGGGGACCAGCGCGGCGGCGGGCAAACCCAAGCGCTAATTTTACGATTTCGGCTATCTAAGCGCCGCAGCGCGCTTCCGTAGCGAAGCCAGGCGTTCTGGGGCAGTTTCTAAGGAAATCCAATGGTTTTTAAGGGAAAGCCTAAACCCGCGGCCCAATACCCTAAACTCACCAGGGCCGGCCGCGATTTGGGAGCATCCGGCCCCGGGTTAGGGGTTATGTGTTTCTGAGCGAGACACAGCCTCAGGCCGGCAGGCCGATTGTGGCGGTGAGCTCGACTGGCAGCTCGCTCTCACTTGCAGATCCTTACAGGCGTGGCGATGCGCGCCCCCAGGGCCGCGCCTGCAGTTTAGGGATCCGAGGGCTCAGGGAGCCCTGGAGTCTGGTCTCAGGGATCCGCCGGAGGGCTACGGCAGGCTCGTGTCGTGCCGACCCCAGCGTTGGTTTTCGACACCGCAGGGATCGTCCAACCTTGAACGATCGGCCGCTGCCGCAACGTCCGATCGTTCAACATCGGTCGGTTCTGGGTCGCCGGCGGCGTTCAACCTGGAACGCCCGCGCTGGGGTCGCCGCTGGTCGACACGACGCAAGCCTACCGTACCCTGGCAAGTCTTTCATGCCATCCACCTTTAGGTCGGGCATGTCCCCCTACAGGCGGATTTTGGACGAACAAAAAAAAACACCCCAAACATACCCCGAGATGGTATAAAGAAAACTAATGCATCGTCCCCTGATTTTTTTTGTGCTATTTTTGAACATTCCCCCTGTAGAGGGACAGGCCCGACTTAAACCCACCTTCGCGCATCGCGCCCCGCGATGCGCCAAGCGCGGGTATCTTCGCGCCCCTAGGGGGGACGTAGGGACCTAGAGTAGAGGGCCAACCATCCACCCCCATGAGGACCACCCCGACAAGCGAGGCCGTTTCGTAAACGCAGCCACAGAAGGAATCGAACAGGGCAAGGCTGTAGTAAACGCCCAGGACCGTTTAACAACCGCGAATTATCGGGTCCGGGTGTTCCTCCCCCCCTTGACAGAGGCCTCCCCAATGGGGTCCGAGAGGATGGGGTCGGAGGATCGCGCGCCGCATCGCCGACGCATTGCCGATGCATCGGCGATGCACTGGCGGCGTTGGAAACGCATCGGCGCCATCGGTGTAGAGAAAATTGGGCTCCGCATCGCCGCCGCATCGCCGCTGCATCGGCGCATCGGCGATGCGGCGCGACCCTCGGGCCCCGTCTACCTGCTCGGATCCCTTCAGGAGGCCTGGAGTACCAAGCAGAGAGTCCCGGCGAGGCGGCAGTCCCGCGGCGGGCCACCCACGCCGGCTGCGGAGGATCTGGTGGTTGACTGTCTGGGCACGTCCGCCGCGTGGACCCCTGCGACCGTCTCGCGAAAGTTCTGCGTCGCCCTGACGTGCACTCAGCAGACGGGGACGTGGGTCGGTGCAGGAAAGTGGCGCTTTCCTGCCGCTTACCTGCCACCTTCTATGCTCGTTCTGGGGACCTTCCTGCAGGCACTCGCTCCACTCACGCGTCGATGAGGTTTGGAAAGACCGTCGACTCGAGTCGAACTTGAGTCGAAGTTGAGCCAAACTAGAGTAGAACTAGAATGGAATTAGATCTTGAGTAGAGTTGAACATGTCGGTTAGGTGGCCCCCAGAAAGGCGGCCCAAACGAACATCTGCTGCACCACCCTCCGCGAAACCGGCACTCGGCCCTGCCACCTTCCCGCTCGCTGCCGTAGTTCCCGCTGCAAACATAAATTTTCGAAGCTCCGAACGGATTCCTTGAATCGGCGATGGACCCCCCTCCCTGCCAGGGGGGTCCAGCGCCGATCCAAGAACTTAGAGCAACCAAAAAATACCGATACCGCTTCTCCACCGACCTCTACCGGGGTACGTTCTGACCAGAATTTCGAGGCGAATCCAGCCGTGGCGACGAGGGCCTACCAGGAGGCGCAAGAGGCGAACTCGAAGCAATTGTAGAGGTATCGGTACCCTTTCCTCCTCTGAGAAATCCGCGCGGTCCTACGAGAATTCATGTTTATGCGTTTTGTTCCTCTGCATGTTGTGCCCGTCCCGGTGGCGCCGAACGCTCGCAGGGAAGGCTGCTGGAGCTGGCGCCGTCGATGCAGCCCTCGTCGTCGCAGTCAGAACTTCCGTCGCCGTCGCCGCCATCGCCCTCGTCGTTGACGTCCTGGTCAGAATCGGCGGCGAGCTTGGGGGGGAAATGAGAAGTAGAAGGCCTTCTGAGAAGGAGGCGTGGCTTCTCAGATGCCCTCTGGCCTTCTGCAACAGAAGAGCGTATCCGGGGAGGGCTCGGAGAAGGCCGCCCCTTCTCGCTTCCCCTCCCTCGCTCGCCGCCCACACCGTCGTGTGTCTCTTGGCTGCTCGCACTGCTCTCGGCGATGGTCTTGGCGACGGGTGGAGCGAACAGAAGCAGCAGCTGCATCGATCAAGGGAGTTAAAAAGGACATGAGCAGAAACTTCCAGAGGCCCGCGCTGATTTCTTGGATCGGCGCTGGACCCCCTCCTTGGCGCGCAGAGCACGCCAGCGGCGGCGCCAAAGTCGCCGCCGCGGGGGCCCAGCGCAGGTCCAAGAAAACCGCGCAGACCTGCGAAAGTGTTATGTGTAGCTTTTGCTCCTCGAACCCATGGACTTCGCACCCTCACACTGAATGGCCAATCGGCGTTAGTGAATGACTGTAGGCGACTGTGGTTTTCATAGCCCAACTAGGTGGTGGAGGTCGTAGTGGTGGGGGGGTCAGTGGTGGCAAGAAGGGGCAGGTGGAATGGTGGCTGATGGCGATGGCGTTGCTTGTTTGGCAGTGGTTGGGGTGGTTGTGCTCGTGATTGCGGCGGCGATCAGCATGGCGGTGGCGGTTGGCACTTGCTGGTGGCATGGTCGGAGCATCCGGGGTAAAGGCGGCGGGGTGGTCGTCGTTGCGGTTGTCCCGCGGCGAGACGGAGCCGGTGGTGCTGCTCATCGTGGTGGTGAGAGTGGCTATGCTAGTTGAGGATATGGTGGTCCGATCCAATCCATTCTCTCCAACATCCCACACAGCTGGACGAATCATTCGGAATCTCCAACACTACGAGGTTTCTCTTTTTAGAATATGTATATATATATATATATATATATGTGTGTGTGTGTGTGTGTGAATCTCTCTCTATATATATATCGGAATAATATACATACATACGAACGTACGTGCATACATATATACATACGAAAGAGCAGAACGCGTTCTGTGGTCGCTTGGAGGGGGTGGGGTGGAACCGACCCCCCCCCCTCCCTCCCTTGCTTCCCCTCTCCTCGGGCCGGCGCTTGCGTCGGCGGCGGCTGGCGGCGGCGGCGGGGACGACGATTTGCTTTTCTGGGCCGGCGCCGGCGCCTGCGGCGGCGGGCGGCGGCGGCGGGGAGCGTCGACGAGGACGACGGTGGTGGTGGTGGTGGTGGGTTGTGGTGGTGGTGGTGGTGTGGTGGTGGGTGGTGGTGGTGGTGGTGGTGGTGTGGTGGTTTGTTGTTGGTGGTGGTGGTTGTGGTGTTGGGTGGTGGTGGTGTGGTTTGGTGGTGGTGTGGTGGTGGTTTGGTGGTGGTGGTGGTGGTGGGTTGTGGTGGTGGTGGTTTGGTGGTGGTGTGTGGTGGTTTGTGGTGGTGGTGGTGGTGGTGTGGTGTGGGTTGTGTTGTGGCGGTGGTTTGTGGAGGTGGTGGTGGTGGTGGTGTGGTGGCGGTGGTGGTGGTGGTGTGGGTGAGGTGGTTTGTGCTGGTGGTGGGTTGTGCTGCTGGAAATGGTGGTGGTTTGTGGTGGTGGTGGTGTGGTAGATTGTGGCGGTGGTGGTGTGTTTTGTGGTGGTGGCGGTGTTGGTGATGTTGAGTTGCGGTGGTGGTGTTTGTGGTGGTGTGGTGGTGTGGTGGCTTGTGGAGGTGGTGCTGGTGGTGGTGGTGGCGGTGGTGGTGGCGGAGGTGGTGGTGTGGTGGTTTGTGGTGGCGTTGGGTTGTGCTGCTGGTAATGGTAGTGGTTGTGGCGTTGCTGGTGGTGGTGTGGTAGATTGTGTTGGTGGTGGTGGTAGTGGTGGTGGGTTTTTCTGGTGGTGGTGGTGATGGTGACTTGTGGTGGTGGTGGTGGTGGTGGTTGTGGTGGTGGCGGTGGCTGTGGTGGTGGTGGTGGTGATAGTGGTGGGTTGGTGGTGGTGGTGGTGGTGGTGGTGGTGGTGGTGGTGGGTTGAGGCGGTCGTGGTGGTGGTAGTGGTGGTGGTTGTAATCGTCGCTGCGTCCCCGCCGTCGCCAGCGCCAGCGCCGGCGCTGCTGGCCGCCGCCAGCGCCGGCGCCGTCGCCAGGGGGGGGTTCAAACCCCCCCCCTTCCCTTAAGCTGCCTCTGGTCATCGTCGCTGCGTCCCCGCCGTCGGCCTCCGGCTCGAAACGCGCCGCCGAATGTTCCCAAGGCCAGCGCCCCGTGAAACGCGTCCTCTCGTACATACATGTATTATTTCGGGTAAAAACACACACACACACACGCAAACAAAAAGTAGCACGTTCAATAAAAAACTCGCACAGGGAGAGGAGCGAAGGGGAATGAAGGGGAACCCAGCTACAATTACACTGCAATGCTCGACGATGCGACATACTACACGACGCTACGCGGCATTACAAAACAGCGCGAGTACATGACGATATGCTGCACTGCATCGCCATGCGAGCAGTTCACCGCGCCTTTATGCAAATACGTGTGTGCACACATCAGATCGACAAAGCAGGAACGGATGGACGAGGGGGAGGCGAGGGATGTAGAGGGACAGGGGCAGGCGAACCAAGAGAGAGAGAGACAGAGAGACAGAGAGAGAGAGAGAGAGCAACAGCTAGACAAGGAACGCGGTATGCATGCGTACATCAGCCACCGTGCCATCGGCACGCAGTGCAGTGCCCCAGAACTCGTGCAGCTCTGCGAGGTAAAGGACATGCGGTTCTGAATGGTTCGTGCACGGGCCCCGACCGCTGGTGTCCCAGGCGCTCTCGGGCGCTACTGCGCACTCTCGGGGTGTGTCGCCTGAGCTTTTGAGATGTTGAAAGAAACCCAAGACGTGCTAAGAGGACCCTAAGATTAGGTCGGGCACGTCCCCCTACAGGGAGATTTCGGACGACAAATACAACATAGTCGGAATATGTACAAAGAAATATACAACAATTATCAAACAATAGTCCCCTGAGCATTTTCTGACTATTTTGGAATATTCCCCCTGTAGAGGGACAGGCCCGACTTAACAGTAAGAGGCCCAAAGACGGACGAAGAGTGTCCCGAGTCGTCGGACGGTCCAGGACGCCCAAGATGGCCGCCGTACGGCCGAAGATACCCCCAAGACGCCCCGAGAGGCCTCCAAGAGGCCTCCCCAGAGGGCTCCAAGAGGCAAACAACAACAACTGTGTGCATGTCAAATTTTCGCGTTTTTGCTTTTCTGGCGTCCCGACGCTCCAGGACGGCCCAAGAGGCGCTCACGACCGCCCCAGTACGGCCAAACAAGCGCTCAAGAGGGCCGCACAACGGCCCAACAGGGCCCCAAGACGGCCCAAGAGGCCTCCAAGCCGGCACAAGCGCCCCCAAGACGGCTCCAAAAGGGGGCCCACACGGGGAACCCGAACGGACATGTCGAGTACTCGGCTCAGAGACCCCCCAGCGGCCCCAAGAGGCCCCCAAGGCGCCTCAAGACACCCCCAAAACCGCCTTCAAGAGACCTCCGAGAGGCATCCCAAGAGATCTCAGAGGCATCCAGGAGGCCTCCGACCTACAACTCAGGAGCGGTGGCGGGATAGGCCGAACGCCACTGTATCTACATGTACATGTATATAGAGGGAGAGAGGGAAAGAGAGAGAGAGAGAGAGGAACAACAAAAGACAGAAAGAGAGAAAGAGAGAGAGAACAACAAGCACCAACGATAACGAGAAACAAACAAAACGAAACGGCACAAAAACGGCAATCCACAACCAAAGAGGAAAAGAGATGTGTGAGTGTGTGCGCGGGAAAGAGTGTTCGATGACGGCACCGTTCGGAAGAGCGAGAACTAGGAACACGAGTGTTTGCAGCCCTTCCGCGACCACAAATCTGACAGACATCGGCGTGTTTTCCTCAAAACACTGACCACACCATCCCGAAGATAATAACGTAATTTCCACTAACGCCGCTGTACTCAAACATCAGGACACGGCGTGGGGGCCGAATCGGAGGGCGGGGGCGAGAAACAAAACAAGAACGACCCAAACCTCGGCAGTCGTGGATGCTTCAACACATGGCCCCCGTTTCCTGGGGACCGGCTTTCATCGGGGATCGTTCCTGTGGTTTATCCTGGGCCCATGATGGGCCTGTAGAGGCCAGAAGAAAAAAA